TACATAGCAGCGGGTTAGTGAGATCTCTGTGTTTTAGGGTTGTATAATGCAGAAAAACTTCAATACAATCTTAAGCACTGTTGTGACAGGCTAAATATATAAAAAAGACTTATAAAAACTAGAATTTTATCCAAACATTTTGTGCAACTAATGCTAAAATATTTTAAGTTAAATTTTCTTTTTTTCTTTTTTTAAAGCAAAATAAGTTTAAAAGGGAATCTGTGGCATTCAACTGATAAACAGAAGATCACTAAGAGATGAAAAAAAAACTACTCTTGGAGCTCACTTCCCCCCAACAAGAGCACCACATCCCTAACCCTAAGGCAGCACACAGAGTCCAAAATAAAAGTCCTTTTGTAAGATCAGACTCCACGTTGGCTTAAAGATACCTAAAAAACAGATATATGCTCAGTTTGTATCCAGTACAGGCCACAAATACTGGAGTCCTTTTTTTTTGTCCCACAAAATACAGTAATTACAATTAATTAATGAACCTGACATTAAGATTTTAATTTCCACCAATTTATGCCTGCCCTAAATAGCCTTCACCAGGCAGATCACATGTAGTGTCTTATCAGTAACCATTTTTGATGGCAGTGATGCAGACCCTCTTTTTGTTCAAGCAAATCTGTTGTTATGATGTATTTGTTGATTCACACAAATACTTTGGCAAGGGCATCAGCCCCTGCACTAGCAATATATGCTTTTGATGGATGGAAAGCAACATCATATATTGATTCATCTAATTTCTTCCTATGTGCTGTTATTTCTTGCACACATGTCTTGCTGTCCAAATTCCACAATCTAATAGAACAATCATGGCCTGTAAAAGAACAAATAAAGTGTTTTTGAGTAACAATTCTTTTATAAAGTTTGTGCGCAGTACAGGATTCAGACTTACTTCCAGACATCAAATAGATTCCATTAGGATCTACTGCGAGACTTGTAACAGCATCCAAGTGAGCTACCATAGAATGGATCATTTTACCTACACAAAACATAACAAAGATAATTATGTTTTCACAAATATTTACTAACTTGATAGGTACTTTAGAAATCATAAAATAGCACAAACATAAGAGACAATCACTATAGCATTTTAAAAATTGTAGTAAAATATACCTAAACATAAGAGTTACCATTTTAACTATTTGAGAGGGTACAATTCAGTGGCTTTTAGAACATTCCCAATGATGTGCAACAATCACTATTATCTAGTTCAGAACATTTTCAATACTGCAAAGGGAAACCCCATACCCATTAAGCAGCCATTCCCCATTCCTCTCCCCCAAGTCCCTGGTAACCATTAATCTACTTTTTCTCCCTATAGTTTGGACTATTCTGGATGCTTCATAGAAATAAATCATATAACAACATGTGGCTTTTTGTGTCTGCCTTCTGTCACTTAGTATAATGTTTTCAAGGTTCATGAATTATCCTATATAATAAAAAGCTAATATGCAAAGTGACTGAACAGCAGAACGACTGGTCGCTATGATGTGCACTGACCACCACGGGGCAGACACTCAATGCAGGAGCTGCTCCCTGGTGGTCAGTGTGCTCCCACAGGGGGAGTGCCACTCAGCCAGAAGCCCTGAGCTGGATTCATGGCTGGCGAGCACAGCAGTGGTGGTGGGAGCCTGGCCAGCCTGGGTGAGGAGCTGATGGCTGGTTGCAGGCTGGCCACAACTCCCAGCCACCCAAGCTCCCAGTGGAGGCTGGCTGGAAGCAAGTATCTGGGATTTATTTGTCTTCTATAACTGAAACTTTGTTGCCATGAGCGGGAGGCCACAGCCAGCTCAGGGCAGGTGGAAAGCTTGGCTTCCTCCATTGCTCAGGCAACCAAGCCTTCTGCTTGCTCCAGCTCTGTGGCTGCCGGCTGCCATCTTGGTTGGGTTAATTTGCATATAGTCGCTCTGATTGGCTGGTGGGCATGGCTTAGGGCGTAGCAAAGGCATGGTCAATTAGCATCTTTGTCTTTTATTAGTATAGATCATGAGGCTGTAAGTGTTGATCTGAATACAAAACCACAACAAAATCAAGTGTGAAGGTTTCTCCAGAAAACATCAAAAGTCCTATCACTTTCCAGCAATACCAAACACTTATCAGTTGAAGACAAAGTTTCTCATAATTTCAAACCACATTTGTCTATTCTTCATTTGTACTAAGTAACAAACAGAATTGGAGATTCTTCTCTGCTCTCCTAAGAAACAGAAAAATCATTCAACACACTATCTTTAATTGCTTAGTCCCACAATTCATCTCTCAATTCTAGAATCCATTCCTCTCAATATTCCTATTCAAAACAAACAAACAAAACCCTAGATATGAAATGATTGGCCTCAAAGAAAGTAATCTCAAAACATTAGGGGTTAAGTAACAAGCACCATTAGCTTCCTTCAAAATGTCAATTCTATGATGGTAACTCTTGATTCACAATCTAATTCTTATTTCTCTCCTGAGAATAACCCTCTATGTCCTAAATTTAAGGTGTGTTAAACCAAAGAATTCTTTCAACCAATTAGCAAACCTCCCCCATTTCATTAAGGGTGCAATAATTTTCCAAGTTTAATTTCAACTCTCCTGCCTATACATTAAACTAACCTTTACTGATATGATAAGTCAATTCTGAGTCAACCCTTCTTTTCCATATAGTGACTTCAAAAATGCAAGTGACCTCCTCTCCCTTCAGACTGAACCACGTATAGAGAGATCACATGCTGAACCAAGTTGGCTGCTGAGCTTCCATGGGTAACAACAAAAGTCACAAAGCATCTGACCCCTCCTTCAGCAACACTTACTTTTAATTTCTCAAATTTAACCAATTTCACGTTGGCTCCAATGCCTCTGCCACCCCTCTTCCTCCACCAAGATTAATTCTTTGCTCTTATAACAGTCTACCTGGCATCTAAACCCTTTGACTTGAGCAATCAGTATTATAGGCCACTATGAAATGGAAAAGAAACAGACTAATGTAAACCATGTAGACTCTAGAAGCAAACTGTATGTATTTGAATCCCAACCCTGCAATTTTCCTGTTGTGTAGAACTGCACTAATTATTAACTTCTTTTAAGCCTTTTATTTCAACTGTAAAATGGAAATAATAATAGTATCATATATATACCTAATAGAGTTATTAGAAGAGCAAACATGTTAATACACATAAATCAAATACAACAATGGCTCGCAGTAAGTAATATACCATTAAGCTCCAAGAAGATAGGGCATTTTGTTTTGTTTACTAAGCATTGAGAACTCTGGCAGATAGCCAATGAATTCTGCTGCATGAGTTCACAATCTATTCAGGACCTTCTTCCTCCAACTTCTCTACCACATCCTACACCTTCTCTCTCACACTCACTAGCTAAGTGTCTCAGTATAGTATATGCAACTCTAATTTGTGCCTCTATCAAACTTTTAAAAATCACGAGCCTCAAAGATCTCTCTGGAACAAACAATAGAAATTGTAAATTTTTAATTCCTTAAAAGTCAAGGATCTACCATATAATATAACTTAAATAATCTTTTTAAACCAATTTTGTAAATCCCTGCTCAAATATTTTAAGTGGCTTTCACAGTGCATAGCATAAACAAAAATTCATTATTCTTAGGTTGGCTGTGAGAAGTTCTCAATAGATTCTGTTTTCTTCCTCCAGACTTACCGCTTTGGCTTTGCCTGTAAAAAACCCCCGTGTTGGCCAAAGTTTCTACCACCAAGCCTCTGATCAAAATACGTCCTTACCTAAAATTTCCTACTTTCTTCACTTAAAAAAAAAAATCTTACCATTGCTTCAAGGCAAAGCTCAAACCCTTACTCTGTGAAGACTCCTTTACCTAGCAGAGTTCAGGTGCACACACATACACAGATCCTGTTTTCCCCAGGTAACAGTTAAGTCCCCAGAAAGCAGAAACCCAATCTTATACATGACCGTAGCCAGTGCACTGCAGAATACAAAATGCTAAAAATGTTTCTGTTGTTAAAATCTAAATATTTATCAAACCCATTCATAATATTGATTTCTATGTCTCAGATACAAAAGTTCAATAAATTGAACTCTGTTGTATGTGTGTGTGTGTGTGTGTGTGTGTGTGTGTGTGTGTGTGCCTGTATATGAGAATAAAAGTGAGAGAGGCTGATTTAAAAAGAATTTTTTCCAGTGTTTGGAGGCCACAGCTTCAATTTCTTCCCACTAAAGGTAAGGTGCTAAAACTACTTAAGAGAAATAACAAAATAAATTGGTAGATCTTATAAGACTGTAAGCTCCTTACTTATTAAGTGAAAATTTATTACCACTTTTTCTTGATTTTTGCCATTAAAACAGCTCTAGAGACTCACACTTTACTTTAAATACAACTAACTACGAAAATTCCTGAACCTCCCCTTACAAATCTAAATCTGTAATAATTAATAAAAAAAAATCAATCTTTTTAGAAATACAATAAAGGAAATTATCTCTGTTCTTGCAGCAGAGGATAATCTCTAGGCTTCAAAAAATGTTCAAAAAATTGTTGATAAGGTGTTAAATGGAAAACATTCACATGAATATGAATAGTCTCTCCTGTGAAATACATAGTCCTGTGAATATCCATTACCTTCTCAACTGTTTTATTGAGTTAAAAGGAATCTGTCCATGAAGTGTTGCTTGAACAAAGGGATTTATGAAAGACTAAAAATATGACCATGTTCTATATAACCTCCAAAGAGAAATCTGTCTTTTAATTTGCTATCTTGCTTGATAATTTGTTGCCCTGCAATAATATTATAATTAATATTTAAGATTTTGATATGGAAGTCCTCTAATACCCCTGTTTTAGCTTCCCCTCAAGGAAGCCTTTCTAGCTGTCAGACCTTTCCTGAAAGAAAACAAACAATATTTTATATAGTATTCAGGTAATTACAGATGGAACAAGGGTCCTTAAAGAAACTCTATGGCCACATTAATATTTGATTTGACTTCTATATAAATGGTTAAGTTTTCTGACAACAAGAAATACAGGGAAGATGGCAATAAAACACTTTTTACTAACCATCATTTTATCCACTGAGAAATAATTTTAAGAACATATTTGAAATGCCAAACCCCAGAAAGACACCTCTTCTGCTATACTAAATCACAATAGACTATGAAGAAAGTAATTTCAAATGGATGGATTTATATTTAATATGACATGAAAAAAATCATAATACGTAGGCAAGGTTTTATTTATATACTTAAGGATAAAACAACATATTATGAATGTGCTACATAACTAAAGCAAAAATCTGAGTTAAAATTATTTAACTTGGCAATTTTGAAGCAGAAAAGTCAATATATTTTATATAAAAGAATAGCATTCTTTTTTTTACAAAATATATTTTATTGATTTTTTACAGAGAAGAAGGGAGAGGGACAGAGAGTCAGAAACATCGATGAGAGAGAAACATCGATCGGCTGCCTTCTGCACGCCCCGCAGTGGGGATATGCCCGCAACCAAGGTACATGCCCCTGACCGGACTCGAACCTGGGACCCCTGAGTTCGCAGGCCGACGCTCTATCCACTGAGCCAAACCGGTTCGGCAAGAGTAGCATTCTTGATCACTTCAAATTTACAGAATTATTAATATGATTGAAAAGAAAATAAGACAACCTACTTACCCGTTTTATTGTCAAAAAATTTGATGTGTCTATCTTCATGAGCAGTTATTGTAACAGGAAGTGTGGGATGACTTACTACTCTATTAATGTGATTACTGGATTGTAAATCTGAAAAATAAAGGCAGATAAAGCACTAAAACTCAAACCTTCAGTTGGAACTGGATGATGACCTTTTTATTCTTACCAAAAAATAAAAAAACAAAAAAAATCTAAATAAATAAATAAAATTATCTGAGAAATAAAACTAGAGCTCTAGAGGAATACAATTTCTTAAAAAATAAATGTTTAAGCTATCATGTCCTATAATATGGACCCTACTAAGCTCAAGTCTAGAAAAGTTGTAAGTATTTTAATGTAGGTGGTTTAAGAATTCTTTAAAAATCTCACAATTATCATTACTTTTAATGGATAGCCCATAAAATAATTATAAGCATTTAAGGAAAATTCGTAAGTGATAATTAGGTGTTTGTAAGAAAGAATCCCCAGCCTACCCATACTGACAAAAATACAAAGAACCAGAATGAATGTCCTTAGGAATAAGACCTTTTCTTTACTGACAAGCTCCTAATTTTTGATTAGCAATGAGGGAGAACAGAGAAAAATCAAAACAAATGGGAAAATATCCACATTATTAGACTTGAAGTAAATCAATCATTCCACATATATATAATAACTCTTAACTAAACTTAAACATATAACACACAAAACAAACCCCATATATGTTTGTGTGTGTAATTACCTATGGAAGAGGGAGAGAGAAACTAAGGTTGAAAGGGCACTGGGAAAGACACTTCTTTAAGTATTTTAATGTTTTACACGATTAACATTTAAAAAGCTTGATTTTTTAAAAAAGCAATCACAAAAAATCAAAATTAAATTTAAATGAGTGAACTTTACCATATATCCAATTGGTGGTATAAGCACAAATAAATGAACTATTTCAAGTGACTTGAAAGCACAGTAATAGATTACCCATCCCTAGTTTCAATAACCAAACTATTGACAGTGGTTTTGGTATTATTATTCTGAGATGACTATGTGTACTGTGAAATAAAATGAGAGATGATGATGATTTTGCTGAACACAGTGAGATTTGGTACGGTTAAAATGAAATAAAGACATAAAAATCAATGAGATAAATCTGAATTTCAATAGGAAGTATTCATATGAATTTATCAACATTTTTCTTTTTAAAAAATGTATTTGTAGCTCTGACCACCAAAAAAGCCTAAACCAACGACCAATTCAAGAGCCATGAAATCCATAAGGACCAACCCAAGAGCCTAAACTGTAGTCTCTAAATGTCTTTTTTTTCACTCAGAGAATCCATGGCTCCTTAGAGAAATGGCCAATTTCAGATCTGGGGCACAAATCAACAAGATGAACGTAGAATATCTTCTCATATCAGAAAGTAAAACTATCAATGACTCCCAGGGTCATGTCAAAAGGACTCAGGAGCTACATGAATAAATTCCCACTAGCCAAAGATTAAACCATCTGAATAGCAATAAAGATAATAATGGCAATGATTCATATACATCAAATACATTTATATCTAAGTGAGATTATCCTATATAATAAAGAGCTAATATGCTAATTAGACCAGACAGCAGAATGACTGTCCAGACAACCTTCCGGACGAAGCCGGAGCTGTGAGGGCCAGCCGAGGCTGCGAGAGCTGAGCCCCTTGCACTAATTCCATGCATCAGGCCTCTAGTAATGATAAAACAAACAAACAAACAAACAAATAAACGAACAACACCCAATAGACTCTCTGGTCACCTATGGAGGATGCTAGGGAACACTTCATTATTACTATTATGTAAGCTGGTAAATAAAGGGGAGGGGGAATCAATAATTTATTTTGCCTTTCCTTTATAATCTAACTCCGAAGCACCCAATTTATTGATGAGGGGTGTTTCTCTTTACAGAAGTATTCTAGCTAATATATGGAGAAATAATGAATTAGAAAATCATTTTTAAACAGCTAATGAATTGACAGATCCAGGTAATTATCATCAAGACTGAAACATAAACAGATAAATAAATAAACCAGACAATATTTACTTCTGATACAAATTCACAATTTATGAAGTAGTCTTGCCTAACCATTAAAAACTTTTAAGTGAACACAAATAAAACACTGAACCTAAATTTGAATAAGCCTCTGGAACTAAAACCAATTTAGGAAATAAAATGAATAGAGGAGCTTGTTAAATGATACCCCAAGCAAAATCCAGGTTGTGGAAAATTTTACAGGCAAACTATCCAATTTCTTCAAGTAAAAAATGCAGTATAGAAAATATAGTTAATAATATTATATCTTCAATAAATGGTGCTGGGAAATTTGGTCAGACACATGCAAAGAAATGAAACTAGACCACCAACTTACACCATACACAAAAATAAACTCAAAATGGATAAAGGACTTAAACATAAGACGGGAAACCATAAAAATATTAGAGGAATCCACAGGCAGCACAATCTCAGACATATGCCAAAGCAATATCTTCATCGATACTGCTCCTAGGGCAATGGAAACTAAAGAGAAAATAAACAAATGGGACTACATCAAAATAAAAAGCTTTTGCATACCAAAGGAAATCATCAGCAAAACAACAAGAAAGGCCACTGCATGGGAGACCATATTTGCAAATGATATCACCAATAAGGGTTTAATCTGCAACATTTACAGGGAACTCATACAACTTAACAATAT